TGGACAGGCAAACAGTTTTCTTGGAGCTCCCTCTGATCCATCTCCACCATCGTTCGCCACCCTCTTTTCGATGGCTCTATGTATTTGGGTGTGTGGCTGGTTGCCTACTTTTAGGCGGCCTGCCATTCATTTTCATTTACTCTGCACTCGGTCGTCTCTTTTGGCGCCTTCCTGCTCCTTCGCCTCCTGGTCTTCCTCCTGCATCGCCTTATCGTTGGGTTTTCGGTATATAGAGCGCCAAGCGGACGCACAGAAACGCACCAACTGCTGGCTTTTGGAGGCGGAGCCAACTCGGCTGTAGAAATGAAAACGGAGATGGAAAAGAGGTCCTGGCCGTGAGGACCAGAGGGGTGAGGCTGATGACTGCCAGCCAGCTGCAAGTCCGACTTATAGCGTAAGGATTCCAGCCATTAATTATGATGGACATGCGTTCGCAAAAGGGGTTGAGGAGAGCAACGAAGAAATGAGGCAAGGATCAATCAAACTGCAGCAGAGTGCAAATAATATTCAGACAGTCGCAAAAAAAAAGAAAGTAATCCTTTTTTTCGTAAGAAAATTGTCCATCAAGACCCTCCCTAAATGTTTATGATATTTTTTTTTGCCATATTCTCTGCAGTTGACAGACAAAGAGCCGGGGTTTGTTTCCATTTGTGAGCCACAAATGCCAAACGAAATACCAAATAGAAAATGTTTTAGCGGAAATTTGATTTTAAAAAGCGTTTTGCCAGCAACTAAATGAGATTATGTGCTGCCCAAAAGTGCACAGGGCAAGCAGGACACACAAACAGGACATTCGCTCACATGACGAACGTGGCTCGGGGCAAGTGAGGCATTAAAAAATGCAAAATTATATATCAAAGCAGCCGGGACAAGGAGACAGCGAATGGCAAGGAGCGAAGACCGCTGCATGTCACATGAAATTATTATATCCCGCCATACATCCCGTCCGGGACATTGAAAATATTCCAACGTGATCCGGCTGCCAAGTGGCCTCCTTCTCGTGGAAAAGACGAAGGACATCACAGGACAGGACGACCAGCCTTGGCCTGTCCAACGAGCCATGCAAAATAAAATAGCAACACGAAAAAATGCGAAATTTTGTTAGAAAATTGCAAAAAATTACATACATATTTGGTTTATGTGCAGCTTGGAAAGCGAAGCAGTCAAAAAGGAAGGTTAGGGAGGGGGCGGTAAATTCTGTCACAAAGGACATGTGAGCTGATGGTAATGCACTGACCTGCCAATGCCGCGCAACCTGGCGTATACTTGATTTTTCGCCATGAAATATGAAGGAGCTCTGCTGCGGATGACTAAAGGATGCTGGCTTGGCTTTAAGTGCTGGTATTTGCTTCATTAGATCTACTTCAATGGGCTAACCAGCAATTAGAGCTCGTCCTAATAAAAACATCTTAATAAATCAACTCGCAGCTTAAGTTGTGGATGGAATAAGGGTGGCTATACCGATGTATATATATATATATACCCACCCATAATCAGGGCAGACAATACGCGTCCCTCAAGTTCATATTTCAAACGCTGCCACTTCCCTTTCCCCGCTGTCTGCACTTTTCAAGTTTTTTTTTTTTATTTTCCACTTGAAAAATAAAATGAAGGGAATGACCAACCCTTCGAACACTTATCGCATTCAACATCATTTGCATGCGGAGTGTTCTCCTGGCGGTGAAACAAATAAAATCAAGAAATAAATTAGAGAAATACAACAAAAATGAAGAAAATCCGGAAATGTTTGCCCAAAAAACCAGAATCTATATATGGCAAAGTACCACCACACGTCCAACAAATATGGCCGTAGTTGATTTTTTGCAATCTGCACTTTTCTGGTCCTTTGTCGAAAATGTTGCCACAGACTCTGGGACTCGAGGCTGTCGTCCTGCGGAGAAGGAAGAGCTTTGGATCCCACTCCTGTCCTAGTCGTCTGTCTGGGATCTGCAAGCTGGACGACTGCAGCCTGTCTGCCCGTCTGGACACGTAGACATGGACCCCCAAAAAACTCCACTCCACTCCATTCCCAGTCAACTCCAAATCCATGTCCATGTCGTCGTCGTCACCTCGCGACGCATTCGTGGCACTCGCGTTTAATCAGCGGTGTTTGGAGCAGGAAGACCTGTAACTCCTCCTCCTGTAACACCCGAACTGCCAGCTCCATCATCATTTATTGTTAGTGGCTGGCCAAAAATGCTCAGATGAAGCGGCTGAAGCCCTCCTGTTGTTGTTTAGATTTCTTTGTAGTACTCCGGCTTCGCCAGTTTCAATATTTGCATGTCCCACTCCGCCGGGGATTGGGAATTATTTCCTGCTGTACTGGTGGACTGCTGCTGCTGCGGTTCCATCATATATCATGTCCAGAGCAAGCACCCATTCTTTTGCTTAGGTCCCTTTCTCCCAACTATTTTTTTATGCATTTTCATTATTTTCAATTTCCATTTTACTCGCTCGCTCTCTCCAATTTATTAAGCGATTTGGTTGGGACACCCGTTCCCCATCCTATTTGCATTTAAGCTGCCGGTCATCTTAAAGGCAGCCTTTCAATTATGCTTTTGGCCTCCGATAAGTCGTCTCGTATTTCAAGCAGGGCAACAAGTGGCCTCAAAGTGGCTGCCAAGCTGTGAAATCTCGGACTCAGAAGTGCAGTTGCAGTTGCCAGGAGATGCTGCTCCTGCTGCGGCTGGATATTACCCAGAACAACAAGAAGGACGAAGGATGCAAAAGGAGGTATGGTTGGGGGGGTCACACAATTAACCGGCAGACGAGAGAGATGCTGATTCCTTGAATGCCCCTGGCCTTTAGTGCCACAAACAAGGAGGAGGAGGAGGACGAGAAGGAGGAGGAGGTGGCCATTTTTCAGACTGGACACTTGAATGAGCATTCGCAATCGCCCTCCGACCACAGTTGTGTGTGTCAAGGTCGTCTGGCTGTGGCCATGTGGTGTTTCCTGCTCCAAGACGATGCCAAATGATGAGGACGATAACGTCTCCATTTGTGCGGATGTGGATGTGGATGAGAATGAGGAGCCCAACTGGGGCTCTGTTGTCCTGGCTCCTTTGTGTGTGTGTCTGTGCGATGGGGAAGTGTTTTGTACTCTTGCTGTCGGGGAGACAAATCAGATCCATTGCCAGTTCCAGTTCCATGGGCCACTGCCTCCTTCCCAGCTCGAGTCCTTATGGCAGACATTCTTGGGGAATACCTTTTGGCAGCTCAGACTTGTCTGCCGCCTTCCTCTGACAACTTCGTGTTTGTTTGTTTGTTTGTTTGGTTTTCATTTGTGTGCTCCAGAAATTTGTGTGAAAATTGTTTTCTTTCCGCCCCCCACAAAGGACCTTTGCTGTGTTTAAGATTCTGTGGCTTGTGCATTTTGTAAATAATCTTGTTTCACACTCCTCCTGCTCCTGCTCCTTCTACTGCTCCTTCTGCTCCAGGACTTTCCTGTCGACAGGCGCCAGTGGTCAGGAACTGGACGGCTGCTGCATAATTTATGTGGGAAAGTCTCTGGGCCACAGTGTTGCTTAAGAATTTCGCCAGGACACCTTGTGAGTGTGCCTGGACTTTGGGCGGAACAAAGTCAATTATTGTTATAGGTTTTCGGCAAACAAATTAAATGGTTTTTGTGGTCGAACACCAGCTCGAGTGACTGCAAATGCTGTTTGGGGCGTTTATTGTCGACGTGCGGTGAAGAGAGTGAATCGAATGACTGCACAAATTAATGTTGGTAGTCAATTGTGGATACCCACTTAATTTGCCAAGTCAAGCGGCTTGCAATTGTAATAGCAAACTTGAGAAACTGTCAAAGTTGGTGTTTCAAATATTTTGGAAATATTTTTTGTGGCTTCTCAGGTAGTCACTTTAAGTGAGATTTATTGAACTGATTGTGCTTATTATAAATGGAGTAGATGTATGCTTTTCAGATTTATTTAAAAAACAGAATGCATTAAGATTGCATGTAAGTTCTTAATACAATAACCTTTGAAAAGCAATGTCGGAACCAAAGCGTATTTTCTTCGAGATTAAATTGTTAATCTATGTATATCGAAAATATTTTTTTTTATGAAAGGGGGAAGATATTTACCATCTTAAAATCAATTAAAAATTATCTAATAAATCAGAAAAATATTTTGTTTTAAAATATTGGGAATAAAATTTTCATTCAAAAGCAAAAAGGTGTTTTATTGTTTTAAACTCTGAGAACAAGTTTCACCACATAAATTTCTTGTCAAAAATAGCTCAATTTTGCAAATAAACGTCGGAGTTTATATTCGGCCTAAGTATCAGTGTTTAAATTAATTTTCTTAACCATAAATTTAGACAGAGATAAACAAACAAAGAGCTATAAACAAAAGCATTCGTTACTCTTAGCTTTGTCTTAAACCATAAAAGCTTTTTATATCAGGGTTGAAGAGCAGAAGAACACGAACTTTGTATAACAATGTTTTGGACTAGTGACGAAAAAATCGTTAATCCAAAGTGCCACTTTTGAAAAGGAAAGCTTTCGCGCCAGACTATCTTTAAATGAAAAACACTGGATGAAAGCCGTGGGTAACACACCACTTGTCTTAAATTATATAGTTTACAAAATAAATAAAACGGAAGAAAAAAAACTGACTGCCAAAAAAACCCAATTGTTTACTTTAGGCAAAGGTGATGTAGATGTATAACCCAGATAAGGCAGCACTATCAGAGCGATTCGATGGCCACGGACCCTGTTCATGCGATAGAACCCAGACCAGACCCCATTATTCTGGGCAATCACCACCGACGCCGCCGCCTACTCATCCAATCCGGAGTCCAAGGTGCACAGAGCACAGCAAACATTACGTAGTTTCCAAGCGATTCAGAGTTATTTTGACGCCGGCCACAGCGAAGTGATCCATAAAATCGATCGATAAGGCGAATGTCGGGCCTTATTGACCGATGTCCAGCTGAGAAAACGACGGCGAGAGTACATATGTAGTGCAGACATATTAAAAAAACGAGCGATCATATCTCTAGCGAGCATTAGCATTGGTCATGCAGCCTTATCCACATGAGGGGCTTATCAATTCTATTCGTGCAGGTCGCCCGGGGTTCTCAGTCGATTTTGAGCCACGGAGCTGAGCAGTCGAATCGCGATCAGTTCCCCGGAATCAGTGCAAATAAACAGACCCACGTGTCGAGCATAGAAACTAGCGAATAAATACATCACCAGATCGGCAATAAAACACGCAGTGACCGATAAGGAACCTTGGTGCAGGCAATAAAAAATACACAAATAAAATAGACAAAAAACACGGGAATACCTATACAGACAACTTTATACAGCTAAGATGATTTCACACACAGTGAGGTGCGTTTGTCAGTGATTTAATCCCAAAAAATCTTGACTAATTCTAATCAATATTCTTACAAAACAGGGTTTTCAAGATGATGTACATTGTGGCGGGCATACTCATCAGCAATGCGGAGATCTGCGACACAGTGGATCGCATTCAAATAGCGCCACGCGTCGACCTGAAGCCAGAGTTCGACCAGAAATACCTGACCTCCGGGGGCAATAGTCCCGGTTCCCGATCCCGCACCCATTCCAGGCAAAATTCCGGAAGTGGTTCGGGTTCGGAGGAGGGAGCTCCCACCAAAAGGCGGAGGGTTAGTGTTTCTGGGATAGCTGGTGGCGTGGTCAGAGGTGTCACCAGTCAGGTCTCGAAGAGAGTGGGCCACCGTTTCGTCTGGCTATCCGACATCCGGCTCATCCTCCAGCAATGGCGAGTCCTGGCCCTCAGCTTCAACCTCTGGACCATCCCCAACTTCTTGGTCCAGTGCCTCACCAGCTACATGAGCAAGAAGCTGCTCATCAACAGCGACTGTGATATGATCTACAAGTAGAATAGGGCAGCTACACCGAGAGGTTGCAAATTTATTGTTACTATAGTTTTTACATAGCTTTAAGATCTGAATAAACAACTGCTAGACATAGACATGGATACGTGTGTATATTCAAAAAGTGTAGGTACAGTATAATTCGCTTTGCCTTTTTTAACTAGTTTATTTCAATCGAAAAATACCATTTTCTTTTCCACTTTAAAGTTCTTTAAAATCTGAATATTTATTAGGTGTTTCATAAATTGTACTATCAAGAAGTATAATTACTTTTTTTTGATTGCTGAACAGATTTTGCTGATGAAATACTATGAAAATTTACGTTAACTGAATGTGTTCAAATAAATAATTGGTTGCTAATGTATTATAACTTTTTAATCTTTTAAAATAACCGCGCAATAAGGTTTCTTTTACTTTACTTCAAAATAGGAATATTTTATCGAGTGTTGTCCATTATCGAATAGATAATGGTCGTAAAGTACCGTCAATTATTATTTTTACTAAGAAGACTATTTAAAGATGTATATTTGCTAAGTGAATTATACTGCCAAAGTGGTCCCAAAAATCTGTTCCCAATATGTTGATCTAATATCCATTTCCGTTCCTAGTCACCCTCTGCCGTTGAGTTGTCAGAATTATCCGGACTGCAAGGACTTCCGCCGCCTCCCGAAGCTCCACCTCTCACATTGAGGCTATTGTGGAGCATATTGGCGATGCTGTCCACATCCAGGTTCTCATCCGTGGCGGAGATCTTTCGCAGGGCCGAACAGACGATGCTGAGATCCCCTCTGAGTTCACTGACCACTGCAGTGATTTTCTGGGCATTCGACAGCACCTCAACACTCATTGTATATGGGTTATAGCGCACTCCAAATGGTCGCTGGATGCTCTCGGCAAAAGCCCTTTAAATTACACTTAGTTTAGTAAAACTAATTTGTCAGAAATTGATTAGAACCCACCTCATCTGCTCCTTGGCCTCTTCGAAGGAGTCGGTGTAGTAGTAGGCATTCTGGTAGGAGGTGATGATGCACTCTTCTTGGCAAGTCAGCTCCGGATCGAACTTCTTAATCTTTTTCTCCGACGTAATCGCATGCTGCAGTTCAGCCACAGAGCTTAGCAATCCTGCTCCATAAACCTTAAAAGTGCTGTCCGCCTGCTTACACAAACCAAATTCCACTGTAAAGAAATAGAGCTGTGAGGGAAACAAATATGAATTAAGGAAAAGGAATGATATCGCAGTACCCACCGTGGCCAACTTCTCGATATCGGCGTCACTCGCTCCCAAAGAGGCCAAGCCAATCTCCTGCGAAAATTGGGCAAAACTCGAGTTGGCCAGCAGGGGCATGTGGCCCAGTAGCTCGTGGCAACAGTCCCTGAAAATATATGAGCAGATGAGATCCAAAGACTCGCCAAAGATTCTTCTTCTTTATCATTATGTGATTGTGCCTGTATCTTCTTTATTTGCTGAGGACCTATACATAAAAATGACTGATTACTGATTTTTGTATTTTTTTATTGGATTGGAAATTTTATAACAATGTCAACCATATATGACATTCAAACATTTAACCACAATTTTCCACGGTTAATCTAAAACCCGAAACTCAAGTTGATTTTTCCGGTTTTTGTCCACAAAACATCTTTTTTAAAGGGTTTCTTTGAGTGTAACTTAGCTAAAATATGGGCCACCGCCAAAATAATGACTGTTTTGTGCAGCTGAAAGCCCAAACTATTGATTTCAGGTTAATTTGACAAAAATTATTTTTTTACTGCTTTTTGTATATTTTTAAGTGGTTACCTCATGAGTTTTTTGGGAAAATGGGCCAAAAAATAAATTTTTAAACTGTGAATGCCAGTTGATTGGAAATTTTATAACGAATTCAACGAGGTATGACATTCAAACATTTAACCATTATTTCCCTGGGTTTTGATCAAAAAACCGAAATAAAAGTTGATTTTTCCGGATCTCCGGATTTCGTCATTTTTTGCGAAAAATGGGCCAAAATAAAATTTTTTAGCTGTGAATGCCATTCAATTGGAAATTTTATAACGAATTCAACGAGGTATACCATTCCAACATTTGACCATTATTTCCCTGGGTTTTGATCAAAAAACCTAAATAAAAGTTGATTTTTCCAGATCTCCGGATTTCGTCATTTTTTGCGAAAAATGGCCCAAAATAAAATTTTTTATCTGTGAATGCCATTTAATTGGAAATTTTATAACGAATTCAACGAGGTATGACATTCCAACATTTGACCATTATTTCCCTGGGTTTTGATCAAAAAATCTAAATAAAAGTTGATTTTTCCGGATCTCCGGATTTCTTCATTTTTCATAAGGGTTTACAGGGTTTAAGGGTTTAAGTTACATTGTCATTTTTCGGGCTTTTGGCAATAAAATACACTTTTTTACAGGTTTTTTGTGTTTAACCTAGTCAAAATAATGACTGTTTCGTGCAGCTCTGTATTTAACCACCGATTCAAGGTTGATTTGCAAAAATTAGGGGATTTCAAATAAAAAATAATTTGGAAATATGAATAATAATTTTAAGCTTACGGTTCGGGAGTGTAGAAGGGATCCGAGGAGTGGCGGATGTACTGGGTGCAGTGGAAGACGCGAAAGGCGAGTCCCGATAGAAAATCCCGTGGAGATAAATACCCGGCCACGGGTCGAAGTTGAAATCCTGTCTTGCGCTTGAGGTAAACGCTCACATCCTGCAACTGGGGCACATTGTCCTCGCGGTAGCCACAGTACTTCTCCAACTCCGGCCAGTTATCCATATACTCCGGCACGGCATGCAACACGTAAAGACGGTGCAGCTCCAAGAAAACGGTGCCCCTTAGAACAGAAAGTTTCAAGCCGCCCACATGAATCGATACTGTGGCAATCAGATCTAAATGCAATCAAAAACTTACCAAGTTTTCACTTCCTCAGGTGTGTATTGCACACGTGGAATGGGATTGCCACTGAAAAGTGTGGAAGATTGAAGAATGGGGAATATAGAAGACACTGTGTGGATGGGATTTCCATTATCTCACACTTACTGCTTAAAGTTGTTGGCTATGGCCGAGAATTGCTCCCTTCGTTTGCGGTAAACAGGGTCCTTGAATCCTGGATGGTCGGCATCCAACTCCGAGCCGTACATAAGGACATTCTGAGCCTTGTCCAGGTCGGAAATCTTTCGCGGAAACCAAACCATGTCCCCAAAATCTTTTTGCAGTAAATGAAAAGTTATGTTAATACCATTTAATCTAAGTTAAATCACCTAAAAAGATTTATAAGTATTTTATCTTAAAAAAATATTTTTGTATGTCATAGCTTTATAGTTCTTAAATAAAACCTCATTTGTTGTTCAAAATTAGTGCTATACTAAACTTTACTTTGATTGCAGCTGTTAAAAAAAGGCTGGGCATAATATTCGGTATAAGCTAAATTTTTGGGTTAAAATATTGTTCCCTAATAAAAACAGTCGTAAAACAAAACGTAAACGATAAGAACCATTGTGAGCGATCTACCGACTATAAAGTACTCTTCACGCAAAAGGGCAAATATAATTAAATTCATTTAAGACCGTAATGCTGCAGCAAAACTGTCTATTCAATTATTTTACTTTTGGGTTATCAATGTGTCAAAGAGTCTACAAGTCGGAAACGCTTATATATACCCTTTAACTCAAAAAGTTATGGCAAAAGTTAGCAAAAAAAACTGTATGACTCTTTGACTGCAAGTCTAGAAAATTTGAAAATTAGTTTATAAGAAGGTCTTATTGATAGCGGTTGTGCACACCTAAAATGCTCAAGTCAGGAACATATTTTTTCTTCGCACTTATTGTGTGGATTCTTTATGGAGTGGCGGAATCATCGGATAGTCAAAGTAGAGGCTTTTGCGCTTCTGCATTGGACAAGTTGGACCGAATCGAAATTAAACTACAATCTCTTTTGGAGAAAACTACACCGCCGATGTTCGAACGCATCGGGACAAGATATTTCTACATTGAGAACCACGTTAAGCTAGATTGGAATTCTGCCCAAAGCACCTGTGTTCGGAAGGGCGGCAATCTGGCCACCTTCCAAAACGATGGGGAATTCGACGCCATCCAAGCAAAACTCAAGAGAAATCATTACTGGCTGGGCATTAACGATCGTTCGAAATCAGATCAGTTCGTGTCTGCGGCATCCGGCAGGCCAGTTCCATTTTTAAAATGGGGACCAGGACAACCGCCTCACAACTACGATAAATCAGAAAGCTATGTTTTTATGTACGACGGCAAAATGGGCCTTTGGATAGACCAACACGAATTTTATTTTGTCTGTCAAGCTGATAGTATGTAAATAGTAAGAAATTGGCAGAGATTTAATGTCTTAACACCGAAAACATCAACATGTAACGACTTCTATAAAATATTAAATACAATCATGTAAACGATCAGCGAGATTTTATTTTATTCGTTTTTTTAAGTAAACACCACCTTATTTATAAACGGTTGAAATGGGTAAAATCCTTCAAAAAACAGGGGAATAATTTCTATATTACTCTTGCTATAGGGAATAGCACCTTCACATTGATAATTTATATTATAATACCCTCAGCAAAGATATACATTTTTCATGAGACCTTCTACAGGTGTTTACCAATCTCCAATCTCTTTGAAATTAAAAATAAATCTAAAAAAAAATTTGGCGACGGAAAAGTAACATGAAAAATAAAAACTCATACCTATAAAATCTCTGATAAGACTCACCAAAGCTGGAGCAGGCTGATAGCGAAGGAGCCCTGGCCAAACCCTGTGTGTTGACGGACGTGTAGTTCACACAGGCCACCTCCCGGTTGAGCATTTTGACCACCTGGTCGAGTCGGCGAGGATCACACTCCACATCCACCAGGACATCGGCCTGGTTGGTGGCCATCTCCAGCGGCGAGAGCTCCAAATGCAGCACATTGATGCCCAGCTCCTGGAAAACTTGCAGGGCTCTGGCCAGATTTCCCACCTGGTTGCGCAGGGTGAAGATGATGGAGATGCGTTCGCCAGGGGAGTGCTGTCTGGTGGCCTCCTGGCTGACACCTCCAATGGCCAGCCTCGGAGGCTCTGGAGGAGCTGAGGAGTGCCTGGCGAGATTGGGGTGCGAGGACCCCGAAGTGGTATCCTTCTTGAGCTGGTGCAATGGACTACCCTGCTTAACGGCCCACTCCTGCTCGCCGCTCCTGTAGAGCCACAGGCCCAGAAGACTCTTTCCGGAAGCACTCATCACTGCACTGCACTTGGTAGCTACTCCTTTTTTATTTCCGCGGGCACACGCGTCGTATGCGCAACTCAGCGCCAACTGCAAGATCCTGCCGATGCGTCAGCCCTTTTATAGGCAGCCCACAGGACTCACAGGACTCGCACACACGCTCACTCGGGGATACATATTCAATTGTATTTATTAAGTGTGCGTGGCGAGATAAATTCGTTCAAGGATATAAAAGCTACAAGTGAGTCTTTCTATTCAGAGGCCCCACCTCTTTTGTGTGTGCAGGGGGAGGGGGGTTTTGGGCTCTGGCTCTGATTGGCCAAATCATGCTGGAGTCAGGCCAAAACGCTAACGCATGACGTCATCATGCCCTAACTTAAAAGTCCTAATAATTATCAAATGAGGTTGTATTACTCAGAGTTGTGAATTTATTTTGTAATGCATAAACAATTTTGATAACTATAAAAAATAATGTTTGCAAAAATAAAATAATTTGAATAATTTCATCATAATAATAGCAAGTACTTTGGTATCATTAAAAAAATGAGTAAAGCTAATTTTTTAGCATTGTATTATAAAAAAAATTAAAAAAGAATCAAAAGTGATTTCTTATTTTGAATACAAATAACTAACTGAAAAAATAATAATACATATTATTAAAACAAATAATAATAGGGTATCGAAATTTCACCATATCATCACAGTTTCACTTTCTAATCAGCAGCAACAACTTTCAATGGCTTGAACAAGGAAAAAGTCACGGGTTTGGGGTTGGTGGACAGACACACAGACTTCTGTGCTTGACTTTCAAATTCAAGCGTTTAATTTATGCTGGTATCGCAGTAACTAGTGTACCGTAAGGAAAACCTAGTGAGCCCGTTGGAGAAATAGCAAAACTCCTGTTTGATAAAATCAATATGAAGTTAGTTAAGAAAAACCCTGACTTTGCGACATTGAGAGTGGTCAAATAAATGGGTTGCTAGGTAGATGGACCAGTCGAACCGCCATAAAAGAAAAACGCTTTCCACCCACAGGCAACCACTTGATGCTTCCACCAGAGTCAATAGTAGATAAATGGCAATTTCTTTCCACTCGCTTCTTTGGGCCTTTGTTTGCGCTTCGAGAAAAGTAAATAGCGTCAGGGGAGGCGGAAAGAATGGAAAACCTGGCGGGTGGTGAAAGGAAACCAGAGCCAGTGCCACTTGACTATTAAAATATGCGGAAAACCCACTAAACACATGCGTGGGCATCCTCGCCCCTCACTCATCAGCCAAAGCGATAAACTTAATGGTGCTGGCTAACTGATTGACCGACAAACGACTGTCCCAAGAGCCAGGCACTTTCTATTTGCCGACGAGCTGAAGGATTTATGGGAGCAGCACGTTTGGCCCAAAGGATACATGGATGCTTCCCACTCCGGAACGACGACTCCCAGACGGATTTGGAGTCCGGAACGGAGTCGAGGTCACGATGAATGGCAGTTCTTGATTCCCTTGATTTCAGAATAATTAAGTTAGACAGCTAATTTGTAGGGGGGTGCAAGGGATGAACTATGACTAGGATAAATTTTAAGGTTTGGCTAGGGTAATTGTATCAACACTTACAATGTGTACGTATTTAAAATTAATTTGAGATTTTAAGCAGAGAAATAGATTTCTCTGGAAATACAATTGATGAATCGTCATTTAATAATACAAATATATTGGGGCAGAACAATTAATTTGATTCTACAAAAATACTTCTGACATTCGTCAAAATAAATATGACTTATTGCCTGTAATCGCGCTCTGGCTTTGCTTCGTCAGACCAATTGGTATCGGAATTCTGTTATCTTTCAATTCAGTAACCGTTTTATTTATTTTATTGTTAGGTGCTCTTAGTTCTGTAATACCTTCCTATTTCTTAATTGATAAAATGATCCATATGAGAATGAAAAACCAATTAAAATGCAAGGATAAATATATTTTTATTAAGGTGAGTCCATATATAAATGTGTAAGGTTACAAAAGGTGTATTGCGAATAAAAGTATTTGGTTTGTTGTAACGAATTTACTCCTCTATTTGAAGCAGTCATCAATAGGAGGAAGGTTTCCACTGCAGAAATGCCAGGTGGACCAAGCGGCCCAGCCCTGTTGCCCCAGGACCTTTTGGGCACATCTCACGGAATTGGTGATGTCGTCCGAGAGCAACTCGTTGCATCCCAAACCACAGCCGTTGTGGGAGAACTTGCCACTGGGCGGCTGGCACCAGTAGAGGTCGTTGATCTGGAAGATGCCGTAGTCGTTGGATCCATCCGAGTTGGGTGGACCCACCACTTCAGTCCGGTAGGAACTCTCGTGCTCGGCAATGCAGGCCCAACGAGCCAATTGGTCACGAGGAACGCCCCGGTTGGACATCTCCCGAGCCAAGGAGCACCGATCCATGGTGCGGGCCAGGATAGCAGGAGTAGCCAAAGCCAGGGCACATATTACCAGAAAGGATCTCATTGCGATGCGAGTTGGTTGGATGTTAATAAAACATTAACTGCCTCTGCCTACTGTGTCGGCTTATTTATACCCGAGGAGATCTCGAAACTCTGTGTAATTGAATCAACTCTAAACAAAGGCGTCTGTTAGTAATATGTTGTTCAACCGCGATAAGAATTCTGCACATATTTTATTGTGGTGCTATAAATATGAATGTGGTCAGCGTAAATGGGAAGAAGATTTCACAGAAAAAGCCCTCGAGGGGACTTATTGGAAGTAAGCTATGTTACCTCATTGCAGTCGATGTGTGAATAATAGTATAGAATAATAGTATTTGTTGGGAAAGGGTATTCCTTATAAAGTAAGTCAGAGGTGCAATGAACCCTTCTAGCTTAATTAAATATGTGTATTTTAATTCGCCACCCACAGCCAAGTCGATATAAGCAACTCATCTGTCTTTTTGACCGTCCATTATAAACAAATAAACTTGAAACTATGAAATAAATAAATAATTAAATAAAAACTAAATTAAAGTAGTCTTTTCGCCCAAACTTAAGCATAATCATCTCACTAATAAATATCCATATTCTAGTAAAGTTAAAACTGTATAACGAAATATATAGAATTCAAAAATGTTAAGCAAAGATATATAGTTTTTATTTTTTTTTACAATGCAAATAAATATAAATCAGTTGCCCAATAAGAAAATATAAAAAGTGTGTTGGGACTTTGTAGGTTTAGTAATGTTTGTAATAATAAATTCAGAGCCGAATGTGACACTATATTAAAAGCAATTGTTGATTGATGGCGGATTTCCACTGCAGGAGTTCCCGGAGGACCAGGCTGACCAGCCCCGTTCCCTCAGGACTTTCTGGGCACAGCGCACCGACTGGGTGATGTCGTGCTTACGGAGGTCGCGGCACTTAGTACCACAACTGTTGTGGGAGAATTTTCCGTTGGAAGGCTGGCACCAGTACAGATCGTTCAGTTGGAAGATTCCATTGGAGGTGGATCCATCTGGATTCCTTCCCACCGCATCGGTGCGGAAGGAACTCTCGTGTTCGGCAATACAGGCCCATCTGGCCAACTGAGCTCGGGGCACTCCAAGCTTGGACATCTCCTTAGCCAGGGAGCAACGATCCATCTTGCGAGCCAGGATAGCAGGAGTGGCCAGAGCCAGGACACATATTACCAGAAAGGATCTCATTGCGATGCGTGTCTGTTGGATATCAATAAAACGTTAACTGCCTCTGCCTACTGTGTCGGCTTTTTTATACCTGAGGAGATCTCGAAACTCTGTGTAATTGAATAAACTTTAAACGAAGGCGTCTGTCAGTAATATGTTGTTCAACCGCGATAAGAATTCTGCACAAATTTTATTGTGGTACTGTAAATATTAATGTGGTCAGGGTAAATGAGGAGATTTCACAGAAACAGCCCTCGAGGGGACTTATTGGGAGTAAGCTTTATTACCCCATTACACTCGATGTGTGTATAATCTATTTGTTGGAAAAACGTATTCCTTGTAAGGTAAGTCAGAGGTACAATGAAGCCTTCTAGCTTAATTAAATATGTGTATTTTAAGTCGGCACTCACACACAAGTCGATACAGGCAACTCATCTGTCTTTTTGACCGTCTATTATAAACAAATAAACTCGGGACTATGAAATATGTACGTTCAAACTTAAAGAAAAACTAAATAAGAATTAGAAAATAGCTTAAAATATTTTTATGTTTAAAGTAGTCTTTTCGCCCAAACTTAAGCAAAATCATCTCACTAATAAATATCCTTATTTTAGTTAAGACTGTATAATAATTAAAAAATTTGAAGCAAAGATAGATAGTTTTTATTTTTCTTTTCTTTTAATGCAAATAAATATAAAACAGTTGCCCAATAAGAAAATATAAAAAGTGTGTTGCGACTTTGTAGGTTTAGTAATGTTTGTAATAATAAATTGAGAGCCGAATGTGACACTCTATTAAAAGCAATTGTCGATTGATGGCGCATTTCCACTGCAGGAGTTCCCGGAGGACCAGGCCGACCAGCCCTGCTCTCCCAGGACTTTCTGGGCACACCGCACCGACTGGGCGATGTCGTCCTTACGCAGGTCGTCGCAACTAGTACCGCAACTGTTGTGGGAGAATTTTCCATTAGACGGCTGACACCAGTACAGATCGTTTAGTTGGAAGATTCCGTTGGAGGTGGTTCCATCTGGATTATTTCCAACAGCATCGGTGCGGAAGGAACTCTCGTGCTCGGCAATACAGGCCCATCTGGCCAACTGGTCCCGAGGCACTCCAAGATTGGACATCTCCTTAGCCAGGGAACATCGATCCATCTTGCGGGCCAGGATAGCAGGAGTGGCCAAAGCGAGGACACAAATCACCACAAAAGCTTTCATTGTGAAGCGGATAAGCTGGATATTCAAGAAGAATGATTGACATTTCTAGACTGCCTCGGCGTATTTATACCTTTGGAGATTAACACATTCTGTAGAACTTAATCAACTTAAAATAACTGCTATAATTGATAATAGTTCTGCAAATATTTATAAATAGCTCTAGAAATATAAATGTGGTGAGAGAAACGCAAGATTTCTTAGAAAAAGATCTCGAAAGGTACATATCTTATCTTGGCTTAATCGTCTAGGTTCAGTGGATGTTTAGTAGGTTAAGCATTTTAGTAGAGAAAAGAAAGCCTTACCGACCAATAAGTGTACAAGTGTATTCTTACGCGTATCAATATATCTTTTTTAAAGCCTTATAAATCATGATCAGACAAGAACATTTTTTTTTTTTATTTAGAATGACAATGGAATGGGAATTTAATTTCAAGATAAAAGAGGTTTGATATTCTACATTCGGGCCATTATTTGCATTCTTATGGCCAAATAATTTATTTTTGAACACAAAATAGGACTTTGGACAGCATATATGTAAGTGTTAGGAGTTTTGAAAAAATAGGATTGTTCATATGTGTTATTTCTTCGATACTGGACGAAAAATATGTTTCAGAATTGAAAATATGAAAGATTTTTGGATTGTGAATGATGGAAAGGGCGTTTAAATACGAAATATCTTCATACTTAAATAAGATGTGTTCCTTCCCCCTTTTGGGCCGCAACCGCTCCTGTCGGTTCGTGCCCAAAGCGCAACAGCATTGCAATTCGCAACCCACCCCCATGGAACCCAAGGAGCGGATGTGACGCACTGCGCCGACGCGCTACTTGTCATCCCCCAGGAGAGCGACTTGGATGGCGGATGCCGCTGCCCCCAACCTTTGCCCTGCTAACGGTAAACAAAAACAAGTTGGAGAGCCAGCGAGAGAGAGAGTGAGAGAGAGAGAGCGAGAGCTTACGGCTGACAGCTGAAAGTCCCAAATTTCCCTGGCTCGGGCCTCCACTCTATGTGGCACCACTCCGTGTGGCACCACACACATCTGGACGTCAGACGGGGACTCAAGTACGCCAGCGACGTCAAGGAAATTATCGATTTTCGCATGTGAAGTGAAAAAAGTGACTTCGCTGGCAGAAAACTGTAAAGCCAAGCACATTCGAGTGGCATTCAACCGAAAAAGAAATCGTATTCAACTAATTGAGAGCCCCAGCCAGCCTGTAGTTGTGGGCGTGGCAGCTGGCCGAGGCCTGGTCCCAAGAAGACATGGCGGACAGCGAGTTCGAGGAGTTCCACAGGCCCATCTTTGAGCCCCACACGATTGCTGGATTCGGATCAGGAGCAGGCAACAAGAAAAATAATCCCCATGCATTTTACTCGTAAGTAAGAGGTTAAAGGTTATTCCGAATCAATGAAGTGAAGTGATGTGAAGCTGCACGTGTCCTCAAGAGCACCCCCCTAAAAAAATTAGTCGGTATCCTTGAAGGGAAATTTGTACTGCAATTTCGGAAATTTTTGGAGGAAAACAAACTTTTAAATGCCATTTTCCAAGTGACTCATTAATGAAATTCCTTTTCACAGTCTAATTCCCAACGATGACCTGGAGGATTCGCATTCCTCGAAGAGCGACGGCGATGGCTCCGATCAGGAGGATGGCATTGGCCTTGTGGACCATGAGCCCAAGCTACGCCAAGTGGAGGACGACGAGCTGGGTGATGGCCTGAAGGTCACTTTATCCTCGGATGGCTCTCTGGACACTAACGACTCCTTCAACTCGCACCGACATCATCCGTTGAACCACCAGGATGCAATTGGTGGCTTCCTGGGCATGGACACCAGTGGCTTGGGTGGCAACAGTGCTCCAGTGACCATAGGAGCCAGTACAGATCTGCTGGCCCCCAATTCAGCTGCCACGCGTCGTCGTCGCAAGTTGCCCGAAATACCCAAAAATAAGAAATGTAAGTGAGCTAGAGAACTTAGTTCCCGGTTAGAAAGTCCTGCATGCAAGTAGTATTAAGGGGCTAGTCCGGTTTTCAAAACATACAAATAGTAATGATTATTTCCTGCAATGTAAATTATTTTATCTTAAGACTCATTTTAAAACATATAAGTTCCCAAACACAATTTATAAACAATTAAATTTTGATTTCGAATCTCATAACTTAAGAGATAACCTTTAGATCTTTAACACAATTTATATATCATTTAATTTTTGATTTCAAAACCTCATTGAAAACCGGACAGTCCTCGTTAACATCCCTTCGTAGTGTCGGGCTAACCCACTCAAGGCCTCGTTGCAGCTTCCATTCTGCATCTTCTAGGTGGCACCAACTTTGGCTCCCTGGCAGATGAGTTCCGCAACGGGGGCGGGATCGGAGGAGCCCCGCCCCCAGCTCGAACTGGCCAGCAGCGCTCGTTCCTGTCGCTCAAATGCGGATACTTGATGGACGAGGACTCCAGTCCGGATTCGGAGCGGATGCAGAGTCTGGGCGATGTGGACAGTGGTCATAGCACGGCGCACTCGCCGAACGACTTCAAGAGCATGTCGCCGCAGATCACGTCTCCCGTTTCGCAGTCCCCCTTCCCCCCGCCCTTTGGGGGCGTGCCCTTTGGCCAGCTGGAGATGCTGGAGGCCACCCATCGCGGGCTGCACAAGTTTGTGCCGCGGCACCACGACGAGATCGAGCTGGAGATCGGAGACGCCATCTATGTGCAGAAGGAGGCCGAGGACTTGTGGTGCGAGGGCGTGAATCTCCGCACTGGACGCCAGGGCATCTTCCCCTCGGCCTACGCCGTGGACCTGGACTACAACGAGTTCGACCCCACTGTGCAGCTGGTGAAGAAGGAGCGCTACCTGCTGGGCTACCTCGGTTCCGTGGAGACGCTGGCGCACAAGGGCACGGGCGTGGTCTGCCAGGCGGTGCGCAAGATTGTCGGGGAGTACGGCAACTCACCCACCGGACAGACCTGCATCCTGGAGGTATCCGACCAGGGACTGCGCATGGTGGACCGATCGGGTCCGAATGTAAGTAGGAGATCAAGGGAGAAGCAACTGGAAGAGTTGGGAGACTACAGATCACTCATTAGCAAATGATGATTAGAGAAATTAATCTCAATATCATAATCAGATCTTAAATGATTCCTTAACTGCTTATCTAAGATCTAAGCTAAAGAGATTGAGGTCACCATAGAACAATCTCATTGTTTAAAGCACTTAAACACTTTACTAATCCACATTTTTTGCAATAAATTAACAACACTATTTAATAAACCTCCTTTCCCCCCAACAGCAAAACAAAAAAGACAAGAAACCTTGCATCGACTACTTCTACTCCCTGAAGAACGTCTCCTTCTGTGCATTTCACCCTCGCGATCACCGCTTCATTGGCTTCATCACCAAACACCCCACGGTGCAGCGGTTCGCCTGTCACGTCTTTAAGGGATCCGAGTCCACCAGACCAGTGGCCGAGGCAGTGGGGTAAGTCCTTAGACAGGAAGCTCTCAAAACAAACCCTATTAACACAATCACCCTTCTCAATTTCAGTCGTGCTTTCCAGCGATTCTATCAAAAATTCATTGAAACCGCTTATCCCATCGAGGACATCTACATTGAGTAGGCTTGCAAGGGCGGTTTGTGCTTCTAGACGAAGAATTCATTAATCAATACGATATATTTTTTGTGCGGTTATTATGAATAAAACAAAAATAAGGAAAAATCTCAAGAAATATTTGCTCTTCTTCAAAGAGAATCTTAAAAACAAATTCAATAAGCTCGCAATAGAAACCCTAGCTATAGATTATTATTATTTATCCGTTCCTAAAAATTGTGCAAGATCTTAGACATGTAAATAGTTAACTTTGGTTCAAAACTCCCACTTGACACTCAAGCTTCAAGCAATCAGCAATAGTTGCCCTTTATAGGAACACCCTTTATACACGACTACGTAACATTTAGACAAATGCACAACCAACAACACACGATAAGTTGAACTCCCTGTAACACTTTGAGCCCCAATTTTTTGAAAGTCAGTAGCTCAGTTGGGTCTATTGTAAAACAGATAATATTAATTTAGATTGGTTCTACATATATGTATATCCGAGACCCTACTGTGACAACATCCTGATCCTGGCAAAGCACAAAATAGAGTGAGGCCAAAGTAATTTAGAGATCTTCGTGTAACTTTAGTTTAGTTATGTTAATCTTTCAGTTACGAGACTCAACAATATCGAACACCCAGCTGCTACATTTTCAAGTATTCTCAAGAAATGCCCAGTTCTAAGATGTGTAAACCCATAAAGTTGTATACAAACAGACGAATATATACTGTATATGTATACAAAAGAAATATATAAAGAAAATATAAAAGAATCCAAAACACATAATTGGTATTTCTTTAAGAAGGTGAGTATTAATAATGGAAAAAGAGAAGGAAGGCTAACTCTGCATTCGCATTTAAAATGGATAATCGCATTTTCTTTAAAGGCAACAAAATTTACCAAAAAATCAACTTGAGTTTAGGTTTTTTTATCAAAACTTTAGTAAATAATGGTCAAATGTTGGATTGTCGTTGCATTTGTTATAAAAGGTTTATTTTTAATATATCTGAAAAGTATGCAACATAATTTTAAGTTCGGCAATATAATAGATAGTCATTTGCATCCCAAAAGATACTATTTAAATTTAGTAAAAAATTAATCAGCCTAAAAGTTAGCAACGAGCTTAACTTCGCTTTCCCAAAAACCATAAAATATGCCGGTGTATCTCTTGAGACCAATTAAATACTGATTTACATAATATAACATGGCACGTATGTTAACTCATCTCTTGAATTTACACTTGCTATCAAGGCAAATTTTACTAATATTAAAAAATTCACTTGTGCGTAGGCTAAAATCTTTAATTTTAGTAAACTTTTTAGTCATCTTTGAGGCTTCCTTTGTGAGCAGTCAAATAATAACCCCGAGATTCCATTCTTCAAATTTGCAATAAAATGTTATGTTATGTTATTATTTACTATTCCGGATCTGTGCCAAAAAAATAAACAATCACACATTAATGAAAACGCCCAGGGAATCGAGAATAAATTGCTGTGCTATTATAAAGGCGATACATCAGTTAGCCTTGGGGCATCAATCATTATGCAATTTTTATGTAGCCAGCCAGCAGCCTCGGTTACTTTCTTTGGAGGTAGTTCATTGAACGAGTTGCGGTGGGCCGGGCCCGATCTGCCTTTGGGCAAAGTGCTTTAACAGGAGCACCAGCTAAAACTAACTAAATTCGTGTCGCTTTTAATGGAAATGGATAGCCGAAGTAGCCTTGGCAGCGACTTTGGCTGTGGCCAAATGGCAGGGGCTCAGTGTGGGAACTGGTTTCGGGGTTGGGAAAATCGCTGCGGCACTCGCTTGATGCACTTGTCGGCCGACCGGCCTCTTTGCTCCATCAACCAAATGTGGCCAATTAGAGATTAAACGACAATTTCAATTTAAAAACGCTTGTAAAACAGAGCAGTCGAAAAGCCAACCTGATTTGTCATAGGTGCAGCATTAGCGGCAATAGACTTGTTACAAAGATACGATATCAAAAGGGGTTTAAAGAGGCTGGTAGAACTCTTTTCCTCAATCAAAAAGAAATGAATCGTACATTTAAGAAACTCAAAAAAAAAGTTCATTTTGTATATACAAGAACTTTATTGTTTTCAAAATTGTAACTTTAGAAGCTAACGTTATAAATTTAAAAATCTAGAAAATATTTGTATATTGAACAAGTAAATTTAAACGTTTAAAAACACAAAAAATCTTCCTGTTTACAGAAATGCAAATAAATTTGTTCCTTTTGTAATCCATATCAAAGCTTAAGGCTTCAGAAAATGCCATTCGTGTAGAAAAGGGAAAGAGGGAAGAAAAAGTAATTTATGAAGAACGTGATTAATTGGAAAACAATTGTTTTATTGTTATGCAAAAATTTTATAATTTACCTCCTTATAGTTGAATGCTCTTAAATACGAAAGTCTTTTCCTCATTTTAGGGTTACTGATTTTCTGAGTGCATGAATGGATAGAACCAATGTTTGTAGAAATCCCCCAAACAAGTTCGCTATCTACGCGCCTGAAAAGCCATGTGAAAAGCTACTCCAACCAGTGGCGGCAGTCGAGCCATCTGATCGCAGACTTCATTCAGTCTGCAACTCGCGTTTCAGTCGAACAGACGTGGACCCAGTTTAAGTCCGAACCTAAAACCAAACTTAAACTTAAACTTAAGTCCCAACGAAGTTATAGTCGTAGTCTTAGTCGTCGGATCTGGTAAAGTGAAGTCGGGTGGAAGTCGACTCAATCAAAGCGAGGCAGCTAATAAAAAGTGCTAATGGTGTGTTTAAAATATGAATAAACCGAGTATGCCTGAGCCACAAAAACGGCTACAACAACCACAACCACAACAACGGTAACAATAACAAAAAAGAGATTTTCTTTTTCGTGGGACGACGAAGAAATCGCATTTGCATTTCACCGCTGGTAGATTAAATTGGTTCAATCGATGGATGTTTTTCGAGTTTGTGTGCGCGTTTCGGCTAAGAGTGCTACTTTCATAAAAAGGTTACCAGAATCTGGAATAATAAATATTTAAATGCAAATATTGGGAACCCGTTAAGAAGCGACGCCGTCGAGCCAAAATAACAATAGGAGTTTTAGGGAGAGTCCCAGCGTGAGTGGGTAAGTCTATCTATCTGTATAAATATTTATCTAACTATGATCGATGCGCCAATCAACTGCGATTTGTAACTGTCACAACAAACGGGTTGTTTTGGCCTGGAGGAATATATAAAAAACGTTTTAATGGCTGAATTCGCCAATGCACTCGCAGCGGTGCTCTGCATGAATCAGAGTTATTAAATAATTAATGCCCAGTGGTGCAAAAAGAAAAACATAGATTGCTGCATGTTTGGGGCATTATTTACGGCCTGCTTAGCTAGACGGCCATATCGCGTCTCTCAACAGACCAACCGTGAAGCTCCAGAACACCGGCCTCATAATAGATGATGCTTCATCGCCATGGAATACAGATCATTTAGCCATCGATTTGCATCTCGAAGAAAGCGGCGGCTCTAATTTTTGGCAATTACGTAAAGCCCATCCCCTGGGGGCTCTGCTCCACAAATGATGCGATCTAAATGGTCGAAGACCAGACAGAAACTGAAAACATTTTCTCGGAAGAGTTTATTTATGTGCACAGTTATTAGCAGTTTTGATATGTTAGACAGGTGAAGATAGTCCATATCAGTCTCTGCCCAACTGGTCAGTTACCACTGGTCTGTCCACTCGTATTACACGTTCGGCCACATTGAGATATGCCTCATATTCCACTACATCTGGAGTGGTGTCGTAATGGTAGTGGCCACCCCAGTTTTCAAAGGAAAAGGAGTGGAAGTGCTGCAGCCTCAGGTCGAGTCCCATGTCCTTGGTCACCAAAGTGCCCACGGCATTCAGCTGGGCGGGCATTTCGTAGAACTTTAGCCATTGTTGAATCTGCTCCTGGGTGTGAATCGGTGTCTTGCTGAAATCCCTCATCACATGCTGGTGGACACAGCCTTTTCTAACCACAAAGATTCCTCCCAGGCCAACTACCTTGTCACCATAGTGCTGCTCCAAACCCTTGCGAATGCAGTCCACAAAGTTTTCCTCACCAGTTCGCTGTTTAGCAGAGATTCTGAGCACATCACCTGGTTTTCCCTCGCTTAGGAATAAGTTCAGGATGAGGGCACAGCGTGGTTCGTTTTCGGGGATCCTTTCCAGAACACACTCCTCCTGATCTCCCCTTACAGTGGCCGTGTAACTGCCCTGCTTGAGTTCGTCCTTTTCGTTTAGGGAAAAATTAAAGATACCCTCGCAATTGGAGTGGCGAATGGGCCAAGGACCTGCTCCTGGACCAACAGCAAATATCTGGCCAGGTCCTTGAGCCTTTCGGGTGATCTCTTTCAGATTGTAGAGCTTCTCACGCTGCACCAAAGGACGTAAATAGGGTGGACCACCTGCTTCCAATAAAGTGGGTTTGCCACCCAGTCCACTCTTAACAAGGCCAAACTGGGAGTCCTTTAGATCCGGACAAGGACCAACACTAACATGAACTGAGGCAAAGTTGCCATTCAGGGCACCCTGTATAACTGGAGAGCAAGAGAAAAGCTTTATCTGAGACCTCAATTAGATGAGAACTATTTTTATCAACGCTTCGGGGCGATTCCACTCAGTAATGCTCACCTTTTTTTAGTTCTGAGAGGGTCGGCACATGGAGTGGTTTCTCCTCGAAGAGAAGCCCATCCGTTTGAAGGTGACTCTGGCTCATGTTATCTCTGCAAATATTGCGATATGAGTTCAGGGACTTGCCTTGCTGGAGGTACAATAGCGACTGACCAAAATACCATCGTCTGGTAAAAATGTCAGCTATTCGACCGCCTGTCATGATAATGCTGCACTGATACAGGGTTTCGACTGATGTTTAATTTTGTGGTGGAGCTAAAAAAATAATGTGGTTCTTCTAGTTTACCTATCAGTTTTATTTAACCTTGCCAGAAATTTTCTTTAGGCACTTGGCCTCCAGTTTTCTTCAGCTGTTTTACTGCCTATCATTTTAGTTTGTTTTTTTTTTGGCTAATTTATAAAGACTACTCTATTTTAAAGTTTTTATTTTGTTTATTTACAATTATTTATGGGGGGTTTTGGGGCAAATGGAAAAGTCATCTACAACTAGATATGAGAGATAAGATCTAGTCTCGTCCGACCTTGTGAGTGGCCTCGGGCTTGTCCACCCTCACCACCCGTTCAGCAACATTCAAGTAGGCCTCGTACTCCACAACATCGGGCGTGGTATCGTAATGGTAGTGACCACCCCAGTTGCTGAAGGAGAAGGAGTGGAAGTGCTGCAGGCGAAGGTCAAGGTCGTGCTCCTTGGTCACCAAAGTGCCCACGGCATTAAGCTGAGCAGGCATTTCGTAGAACTTGAGCCATTCGTTGACCTCCTCGTCGGTGTGGATGGGTGTCTTGCTGAAGTCCCGCATCACGTGCTGATGGGCAGCGCCCTTCTTGATCACGAAGATGCCTCCCAGACCCACCACCTTATCGCCGTAGTGGTTCTCCAGACCCTTGCGGATGCACTCGATGAAGTTCAGTTCGCCGGTGCGTTGCTTGGCGGTGATCTTCAGGACCTGACCGGGTTTCCCTTGGCTGAGGAAGAGGTTGAGGAGCAAAGCGCAGCGGGGCTCCGTGTGGGGGATCTTCTCCAGGACACACTCCTCCTGTTCCCCCCTCACCGTGGCAGTGTAGCTCCCATTCGTGAGCTCATCCTTCTCGCTCACCGACAGATTGAAGATGCCCTCGCAGTTGGATCCCCGGATTGGCCAAGGACCTGCTCCTGCGCCCACGGCAAAGATCTTGCCAGGACCCTGGATCTTGCGCGTGATCTCCTTGATGTTGTACAACTTATCGCGCTGCACCAAGGGCAGCAAAAAGGGTGGGCCTCCTGCCTCCAGCAGAGTTGGTTTGCCACCCAGTCCACTCTCCACCAGACCAAACTGCTGGGCCTTCAAATCCGGACAAGGACCCACACTCACGTCCACTTTGGCAAAGTTGGCGGTCAGGGCACCCTGTATAACTGGAGGAGAAGAGAGAAATCCATTAAAGCTTTATCTCGACCTCCATCTAGACGACATATAGCAAAAGCTATGCCGAAAAGCTTTTTCGGCCCAATCATATGTTTCTGTTTTGGACTGCTCAATGAAAACAGAAAACGCCAAACACAAAACACACAGTGTGCACAGTACACTGAAACGTCAGAACCGACCGAAAACCGGCTATGGAAAGTTCGGCACCGTTGTTGAAGGTCATTTGCACATGGCACTCGGAGCGAATATGGCACGTATTGTTATCTCGCGGATCTCTTGGAAATCAGAGTCAGCTTGGCTCACCGTTCTGCAGTTCCGACAATGGGGGCACATAAAGAGGCTTCTCCTCGAAGAGCAGTTGCTCGGTGCTCAGTTGGTTCTGGCTCATTTTGTCTGCTGCCCGGAGGTGTGTCCTAGTTACTTTACTCCTTTGCTGCGATTCTGGCCCCGTTCTGATTCAGGTTCTCGGCTCTGTTGGCTCCTTTCTCTCGGTCAGCGCAAAAGTCTACCGCTCGCTAGATCGGTGCAAACGCGACTGTGGGCTAACACCAGATGGGGTCTCGTATTTTAAAGTTGAGTGCTCGGCTCCCGGTTTGCCCTATAGTTAACATTGCTGGTCGTACAGGGTGTCTGCGGTGCGTGCATCCGTTGATAAGATAAACTCTTGTGCCGTATTTAGTTTAATTAGAGTCGAGAATCTGGTTCTTAAAGTTCTCAGGGGGAGAGGGATGGCACAATCCAACACCTCACACGCTTAATGCGCATGTCAGGAAGGCATATTTATGGTGCGGTTAATTCACTACAGTAGCCACTCCGTTTAATGACCCAACCTACCCTACCATTTGTTACATAGAGGCCTAAAAACTTTCCACTTCATTGTCGTCACTTTCACTGCCAGAAAAGGTTCTTAAGGGCTTAGGTTGGGGACCCTAAAATAACTGGTTGGTGCTCCATTTAATGGCCCACATTAGCATATTCTTTGTGGCAGCAAGAAAGTTGTTCTACCAACTGGTTCCATAATATATGCCTAATCAAATAAGTTAATTGCCGACCGATAAAGAAGATTTTTTTGGTTCTGCGTTTAGCAGAGGTAGTAAAATGCCTGTGGGGCACCTTTCACTGTAGCTCACTGATAAGTCAAGCCCTCTTTCGGCCGGTTGTCCACTGATAGTGCCCGTGGTTGGTTCTGCGATCGAGTTTTGTCATTTAGCGGTCACGTTTACTACGTCAGTGGGCCGCACCAGATAAGGGAATATGTGGTTTCGTTGACTATATAGCTCAAATACAGTTCACTTCGGGTGTGTCTCGGGTCAAGCCGCAAGTGCTGGGCGTACAAATCGTCCAAGGGCGCTAAATTGATGTATTGCCGGCTAATGAGCTGCCGCTGATTGGCTGGCCTGGATTTGTTTGATAGATACCATGAATTGGCAGTCTCAACGCCTCGCAGAGGAGCAATCTGGCTGTCCAGGATTATGGCCAAACTGGTCCGTGCAATCCATCATTTCGAAAATGCATGTATAGTTTATCATAATTACAAAGTTAGCCGATGAGCCATCTACAGGCATTTGTTCTAGGCGAACGAGGTCGCCAGCTTTAGAGAACTCGTTGCTGACCCAATTCCGATGGCCACTTCACTTTTTTCACGCTGGCTATTGGCCAAACTGGTTGGCAGAATTGTGTCAGCACCGAGATAGTTGCATCCATGCAGACATCCCCACTTACATGTGTTGTGTTCCATGTCCATGTCACATTAGGCAATGACTGACAGGCGCTGATCCGCGACTTTGTAATGGGCAATCGCATTGCATCGAGCAGGGGCGTGGACGGGGCCGAGGAGGGAGCCGCCGGCGAGGGGAACTCCAGGTTCAATACGCGCCGTCGATACCAGCAGCACAAGAGGGAATACTGCCTGCAGAACGAGTACCGCTCCAAGACCCTGCCCGCCCGCCATCCCCACCACGATCCCCAGAGCCCACACAAATCCGACCAGGAGCGATTGGGCTCAAGCAGTTGCTTGGGGGCCGGACAGAGTGCCTCCAACAATGCAACACCGCACAATGGAGAGACGTCGAGGGTGCTGTTTCTGCTCTACTTGATACACCGCACCTGGAACGTGGTCATGGACACGATGGACTCACGCACTAAAAGGTAAGACTTCATTTGTTCCGATTCTCAAGTATTATGCTGTTATGACACTAGCTTTATAATTGCAAACTGATTGGATTTATTATGCGAGTAAAATAACTAAATTTTTTAATTAACATCTAAACAGAATTGGGTTCGACTTCATATTACACAGCACTTATCGTAATAACAGATCGTTTGAACACTTTAATAGCAATCATAGTAAATTGAACAAGGCAAGCGGTTGAAGCAGTCCATTAATGTACTAAGCATTTTGTCTCAAAAAGAATTATAATTTGTTTAGCAAACTTCCTCCAACGAAATATTTTTATAAATGAAAGATTTGGTTAATTACTTCTGCAAACAAATCAAGACAAATGGGCAAATGTCATAACACCTAAAACCAGTGTCATAATACCTTAACTAATTTTTTGACTTTCAGCAATCGTTCACCGCGCGGGGGTTCCCCGCCAAAAGAAGCTCCCGTGGATATTGAACTCCAGCCGCGACCTCTCGATGAGGAGTGCTCCATTGGCATCACCGACTTGGACGCATCTTCGTACTGCTCCCAGTATTCTTGCTGCAGCTGCAGCTACTGCGAAGTGGACACAGCTGGGACACAGACAAATGTCTACAGCTCCATTGGCGACGACTACTCCCTGGACTCCATGTACGAAGCGGGAAAGTCAATTGTTGACAGGTAAGCATAACAAACTATTCAAAATATTCAGCCATAGCTGGCAGCTTGTGTCAGCCACAAATATATTGCATACTTTCAGGCTTTAGTAAAGCCAAAAAACATAAAGCCATAAAAAAGTGCTGCCTTAATTTATGCTGAAAGTTTTTGTTATTGTATATAATTTTTGTTATATTTAAAAAAAGGAAATTTATCCTTTCCCAAGTAAAAATATACTCTGCTATCTTAAATGGTAGCACAGATAGGCGGTATCTTTAAAACAATATAAGAATTAGTCGTCTATATTTGTAGATAAGATTGAGGACTTGAGGTTCGGTGACAGCTTTTACTTAATGACGTTATGGCTTTATGAGAAATTGTATAGCCTAAATATAAATAAATACTCATTGATATCTACGACAATGCTTATAATCAATTAACTTAGGTAGCGATTCGATTTGGTATTGTTTACAAATAGACTGCATTTGCTGCTAAATTTTCCATAATGGGACTTAATTAAAATTATCGATCGCTTTGTCAAAATGGAGTTCGTATCAGTTCGCGTGAAGGCGATAACTCCTTTATCAGTCGAATATTTCGCTATAAAAACTCGAAGCTTCTCTTGGTTGGACATCAGTTTTCAACATGAAGGCTTTCATCGTTTTGGTAGCTCTGGCTTTCGCCGCTCCCGCTCTTGGTCGCACCATGGACCGTTGCTCCTTGGCCCGCGAGATGTCCAACCTGGGCGTTCCTCGTGACCAGCTGAACAAGTGGGCCTGCATCGCCGAACACGAGAGCTCCTACCGCACCGGAGTGGTGGGACCTGAGAACTACAACGGCTCCAACGACTACGGCATCTTCCAGATTAACGACTACTACTGGTGCGCTCCTCCCAGCGGTCGCTTCTCCTACAACGAGTGCGGTCTGAGCTGCAACGCCCTGTTGAGCGACGACATCACCAACTCCGTCCGTTGTGCCCAGAAGGTCCTCAGCCAGCAGGGATGGTCCGCCTGGTCCACCTGGCACTACTGCAGCGGATGGTTGCCGTCCATCGATGATTGCTTCTAAGCTATAGTTCCGATTTCCCAGTAAAGACATCTTGATTTGCAAAATTTGGTTCAATTTGAATGGGCCATGAGTTTCCACAATATTCTAGCTAATAAACATTGTCTTTGTAGTCGGAGCATTAAAGATGCTTAACAGCCCTAATCATTCTATAACATACATTAGACTAGCATGTGCGTGGTTGCTGCTTAAAAGGAACAAAAGTTAAAGTTAAGTTTAGCTAACCAATTACCAGTAGGAGTATAGACGCTCATTATTCTCTTTGCTGAAAATTTTGCAGATTTTTAATTTCATTGAAATAATGAAAGTAAAGCTTTAAGATAAAGCCAGAATCATCCAATTGCCGGGATAGTCCACCTGGTCATAATGGATTTTCTGCAATGGCTCTCTGTCCTCAATCAATGATTCCAAGCCTCTAAGCATTCATATTGATTTCCTAGTAAAGACACTTTGATTTTCTAAATTTGGTTCAATTCTAATGGGGCTTGGGTTGCCACATTCTCCAAACTAATCACAGTTTGTGGTCATGCTCTGAGAATTGAAGATTCCCCCAGGCGCTTGACAGTCTTCATTAATTTGGAGGTGTGCAGTTGCTACTGTGGCTCTAAAGTGGGGGTCTTATAAAAGAAATCTTATAAAATAAGTCTTATACGAAAACCCGAGAGAGAGAAAAGTAGCAATCACGATTGCTTCTTCGGCTCCGACTTCGGTTTTTAAACTCGTCTTGGGTTCAGGCCAAGTCTGCGGCTTCGGATCAGTCGGTGCGTGACTTTTGTTTGAAGCGGACGTTACGATCGCAGATTTCGGACATAAAACTCTGTTTCGGTTAGCAATTAGGCGAACGATGGCTTAGCTAGATGTTCCTGAGGTCTAGCCAAGTTCAATCGATAGGCTTTTAGTGCGGCAACCAGAGTGTGCATGATCCTCTGGTCCTGTGGTGAACTCCACATTCAAACACCTCGCGCACAGTTACGTGTTACTGACGATTACGCGATATGAATTTTCCTATTGTGTATTCTCGGAAGAAACGAGTTTGATTGGATAGAAAAGTGCGGTATTGACACCCGGCCCCCTGTTTTCCCCCACCCGTTTCTTGGCTAACAGCTAACAGCATCGCGAGTGGAGTGCACTAACGGTAAAACGAGTACTGGACCCGGCTAGAACTGGCCCCAACTTGGCCTATTGCAGCATCCACCATAATAATAACACCACACCGAGTGGTTCTTGCCTGCCAGTTTGCTTCGTGCTAATCTTCTCAATTTATGTTTCTTGTTCGATGACGACGCAAAGTGCAGCATGAAAGTCGATTCGAATGCGAAAAGTGTGTGTGTTAGTTAGCCAACGAATTTGCGAACGTTCTTCTGCATTGGCCCAATTTGGAATTGTGTCAATACGCTGTACCTGGTTTCAATTGGATTTCGGAGAGCGGTCCACGAAGACCAGAATCTGGAGTTGCAGCGGCCTAGGCAAAATAGGTAAGCCAGTGAGGAGTAGAAAAACCCGAACTAGTTAACCAACTAAGTCAGGGGGTCGAATGGAGTCCAGGGCTTTCGTTACTCACTCGCTCGGAAGACCCACTTGGTCAAGATCTAGATGGGATTTTTTCGGCTCTGACTTATGCATATGGTAATGGGCTCCGACTTTCTTTTAACTGCTGCCCAAATCTAGATATGTAAATCCCTATGTGGGTAGCTCTGACATTGAACTGTGACGCCCACATCAAGCCGAGCTAGAAAGAAACTCTCGAGAATACCGAGAAAAAGAACTCCGGGGGAAAAAAAAACAATAAAAAGTCGTTAATGCTGGTGCGTGTGCGTTATAAAAGTATGAAAACAAATTACGTTTAACTGTACTCATGGAAAATTGAAGTGAAAATTGAATTGGCTGAGGCACGAGACTTCAAAGTCTTCGACGCAGCCCCAATCCGAGTAACAATGCCACTTTGTCCAGAGACAAAGAAGAGGCCACAAAAGCAACCAACGGGAGGGAAACGCGGAGATTGTAAATAAATAAATAACAGTCATAAAGACAGGCAAACCCAAAAAAATGGAAAAAAAAAGCGAGTGTATGCCGAACTACAGAAAAATCTGTTCCGGTCTGATTTAACAATTGTTAAACAGCTTATGCATTGGCCATGGTCTAGAGTATAGAGTCTAGGGGGCGGGGTCGGAGGAGTAGGTGGCCATATGGCTTACACGCAACCCAGCGAGTGGCCAACTTACTTTCAGCTTTAACCGAAAAAGAAATTTCTTTCTTCACGCGATTTTTGCGGTCGGCTGAGACATTCTTTTTCGCGCCACCCCATATAACCAAAGTCTTCCTTCTTTTGAAAATCACCTCAAAAGCCACATTAGCCGGGCCATCAACAGATGTTGGACACCTTGACGGGCCCTGACAAATGAAGCAATTGGTGGATTGGGTAACCGCACTGGGGCAATAAGCAGTGGGGCATTGTGGACCCGATTGGAATGGACGGGGCCCTGAGCCCTGGGCTTTTGTTAGAGACCCCAGACTAATTGAAGCCAATGGGCCACCAAAAACCGAGAAGCAGAAAGGCCATAATTGAGATCAGAGGCCAATTGGCCAGACAAACAATCCTCCATATCACAAAAGCTGCTTCCACCGATTTGCATCCATTTAGAGCAGGTGGACTTGAAACCATGGCGACGTCAAGTCAACTGTGAGGGGATTCACAGCCGAATCGCCGTAATACTTCATCCATATTATCGAGATACTCCACTGAAATTATCAATGGTATTATCAATATGGTCCGATTTTCCTGCGATTCCTTTCGACACGTCCAGATAACCCGTCCATTGAATACAAATACTCAAGATAACCACTTGGCCACTCCGGCTATAAAAGCGCACTGCTTTCCGGGATCTGATATCAGTTTCACCATGAAGGCCTTCATCGTTCTGGTTGCTCTGGCTTGTGCCGCCCCTGCTTTTGCTCGCACCATGGACCGTTGCTCCTTGGCCCGCGAGATGTCCAACCTGGGCGTTCCTCGTGACCAGCTGGACAAGTGGACCTGCATCGCCGAGCACGAGAGCTCCTACCGCACTGGAGTGGTGGGACCTGAGAACTGGAACGGATCCAACGACTACGGACTCTTCCAGATCAACGACTACTACTGGTGCGCTCCTCCCAGCGGTCGCTTCTCCTACAACGAGTGCGGTCTGAGCTGCAACGCCCTGTTGAGCGACGACATCACCAACTCCGTCCGTTGCGCCCAGAAGGTCCTCAGCCAGCAGGGATGGTCCGCCTGGTCCACCTGGCACTACTGCAGCGGATGGTTGCCATCCATCGATAGCTGCTTCTAAACCGATTTTGACCCCGAATAAAATGATTGCATAAAACAACATCTTCTGATCTATTACCCATTAGAAATTATTTGATTTAAACAAGATGTGAAGAGAATAGCCTCTGATTAGATTTCCCTTTAACAGTCTGAAACGTTTATGGTTTGCATTTTTTAATGCTTCGTTTGGCCGAGATACTTTCCAATCTACTAAACAGAATATGCTTATTTAGTTGGAATTCGCTTATCTAAGTGATAAAGCCATAAATATCAGTACGAAGTTAGAAACTTTTGCACAGCCAACATAAAATATATATCTTTTCTCCAATAGAAAGTAAACTTAATGCTTCGCCTGACAGACAGCTAAAAAATGACAGCGGGTCAAAGCCAAATAATATGCAGACGCAGACAAATTCATTATAATTCCAATCAGCTTCGACGTGAGGCTCGAACCAGTCAAACTGGTAGCTCAATGACTCTAAATTTAAATATACAAAACTTCAAGCAAATAATGCAAACTTCCGTCTCCACCACGAGAGAACTTAAAAATTGGCGAATACAATAATGTCATAACGATTATACAAATTTTTTGAGCCTCTGGCTTGTTTGGAATTGAGCTCACGATAGGCGATTATTAAACGATTCGAATTTTATTGCCTTGGGGTACAATTGAGGCTTGGAAAACATCAAAATTAGGAGAAAGCTGGGCAAAACAAAGGAATTAAGCTATAAAATTGTTTTCATTGCCAGTCAGCGAATTATACTTTAAGCTTTTTAGGTTCCAGGTATTAGCAAAAATACAGTTAATCGGGGATGGGCCAGAAATCTATGATGATTTTCAGGAGAGTTGGTTTGAAACAGATCCTTGGAAATTCGTCGGAATTTATAGAGAATTGGTTTTGGTTTAAAGTAAAGTTAAGTTCTTTGAAAAGTTAAAGTTCTGAGATACCAAAACTTGGAATGTTTTGACTTGCGTCTGAAATTTAATTGGAAGTTATAGAATTCCTGAAACAAACTAGGCACTTGATATAAACAACCATGAGTTTAAGGTTTTATGCAATCATTTATTCAGGGTCAAGATCAGTTTAGAAGCAGCTGTCGATGGATGGCAGCCATCCACTGCAGTAGTGCCAGGTGGACCAGGCGGACCATCCCTGCTGGCTGAGGACCTTCTGGGCACAACGGACGGAGTTGGTGATGTCGTCGCTCAACAGGGCGTTGCAGCTCAGACCGCACTCGTTGTAGGAGAAGCGACCGCTGGGAGGAGCGCACCAGTAGTAGTCGTTGATCTGGAAGAGGCCGTAGTCGTTGGATCCGTTCCAGTTCTCAGGTCCCACCACTCCGGTGCGGTAGGAGCTCTCGTGCTCGGCGATGCAGGTCCACTTGTCCAACTGGTCACGAGGAACGCCCAGGTTGGACATCTCGCGGGCCAGGGAACAACGGTCCATGGTGCGAGCAAAAGCAGGGGCGGCACAAGCCAGAGCTACGAGAACGATGAAGGCCTTCATGATTTCAATTGAAACTGATGTCGAAAGGGAGAGTGGGCGCCTATTTTATAGGACTTCATTATCTCAAGAAGTAGATCTTCACAATGTTACTATCTCAAGTGAGCTTGAAGCCCCTAGTTACACTCTTATCGCAATTATGCACGAGACAATTAATAACTGTGTATTTAAAATGGCCAGACCAAATATTATTAATCTATAGCGTTTATCAGCCATTACTAAATGGTTCGAAGCCGCGCCTTAAAAACATTAGAGTAATGCAAGCTTTTTTCAGACACGATTAGCCTCATCTTTGCCAGACTCTTGGGTTTTTAGAGCAAGTTATATTAATTTTTCAG